AGAGAGAGAGAGAGAGAGAGAGAGAGAGAGAGAGAGAGAGAGAGATCGGGAAATAGATCATGTTTTCATACATAAACTTACCCAAATCGATTTTCGTTTTATTAGCTGAATTATCGAGCAATTCATGTTGTGGCACTGCAGCATCCAATTCATCCTTAACGGGATTCTTACGTTCCACGGTGGCAGTCTTAACGCCCTCACCATCCGGCGACAAATCCGATATTTCGGTATCGGATAATTCAGTCTCCAGTTTTTGAAACAAAGGCTTCGGTGGTGCTCTACGCATCATTTGCGGCGTTAGCTTAAGTGTGGCACTGTCATAAGGTAGACTAATCGCATAACCAGCTTTACGTTGTGTCTCTTGCAACTCGTGTTCCAATATAATGACACGATCCTTTAACTTTTTCACTAAAGCATTATATTCGGTATCTTTTTCTTGCAGCAATTGCTGATAAAATTCTTCACGATGGCACATATCGACTTCACGTTGCTGATATTCGCGTACTAAACGTTTCGCTTTATTATATTTCTTATCCAAAGCCATATACTGAGCCTGGGATTGTTGCAACATATTCTGCAGATTGGCAGCCTCTTTCTTAATATTACCTAATTCGCGTTCACTCTGACGTAAACGTTCACTGAGCAATTCATTTTCATTACCAGTCGTCTCCAATTTGACTAGCTGTATAAGAACGATATATTAAAAAACGACATATTACGTACATACAATTTATGAAAAAAATCAAATACAAATAACGTTGAATGCATAATAACAGGGAAAGAGCACAAATTACTATATAAATATATAGTTTTTCACGATGATTTCTATGAACTGTGCACACTGTACAAAGAATATATCTAATAGGATATATTTTAATCAGATTTAAGATTCTGAATCGATGTATCAATGTCTCTTTCTATTTGAAATATGCAAACTAGCAAAGCAACTTAGATGAAAAGTTGAAGTTTGATGCATAGATACGTTCTGAAATCGAATTGATCCGAAAAGTGGTTTTCAAACACGTATCTTTTTATAACAAATAAATATCGGTGTATATAGCTTTTTAATAAAACTTTTACGATCTTTAATAGTTACCGAGTATCCTTGAAGAATATTATTCTACATCGACCATAATGAATAAGAAAAAATGTTTGAAGCCCAATGTATCGGAAATTTGCTTCTTGAAGCTTATGAATGAAAAAATGTAGACTTTTGATTAACATATCATTAACTTATATAACATCGACGAAGAACTTTAATTTTCGTTACAATTATTAAATCCATCTATTGCGTTATTTCGTTTTATTTAATTTGATGTTTCGCTATTTCATCAAATTCAGATCAATCTATAGTTGGCAAGGATTAGTTCACTTCAAGTGATCAAAAGATACATTGACCTCGGGATTCGTGGATCTTTAACAATTCATATGAATTAAATAGAACAAGTTTGAGTACTTCCTCCTCCTCCTTCTCCTCGATGTCACTCACTCCAAAATCTAAAAATGTCTGAAAATCATATTCACCCACCTTTCGCTTAAGATTTTCTATAATGTCTTCTTTCAAAAGGCAGTTGATTTCGCTCTTAAAGTAAAAAAAAAAAAAAAAAAAAAAAAAAAAAATAAATGAAAAAAATTGAAATTTAATAATTAAAATATAAAATAAAATGACTTGGATAGTAAATAAAAACAAATGAAACGATGGTTTTTTAAATAATTTGTTCACTAACAAAAAATGTTTTTAAACTTAACTAAATTATTTTCTAAATTATTTTTTTAAATTTTTCGTAATTTTTGAAAATTAAAATTCGAATAAAAAATTATATATAAAATATAATAATATTTATGGATCTTCTTTTTCTTTTTCTGTTTTTTTTTTTTTTCTTTTTACAATTACCGCTTTATGCTGTATATTCCGATCCGAGAAGCGCGCATTAAATTTGACAAAAAAAAAAAAAAAAAAAAAAGATGTGAAAAGTTCGCTTGACCGTGACAATTTTAAATAAATCCTTTCTTTTATAGGCTTACCTCTTGTAGTAGTCTCTTAAGAGACTCTACCTCTTGTGAATGCGTCGCTTCGACCTCCATGGGATGTTCGACTTGCACAGGACTGGTGGGTCCCTCGCAAACGCTTGAATTGGCCGAAACCGGCTGGGTTGAGTCCTCTGAATAGTCAAGGGTACGTCTAAGGTATTCTTCTTGTTGTCTAAAATAATTAAACAAAATATAAATGAATTGAAATTAATTAATTATTTAGGCTTGAGTATCAATGGAAACAGTTTACCTTTTCAGCCTTTCTTCCTTTTCTCGATCTGCTTGTAGGCTGAGTCGTATTAATTGAGCCACTTCGCTATTCTCGGGATCGCGTTCACGACCTATTTGAAATTTGACTAGACCAGATGTGTTGCGCAATACTGAAGCTGCGTACGCTTGAGTGACACCCACTAAACTTTTACCATCGACTTCGATAATTTGATCATTAACCTGAGCAAATTTTTAAGTTTTAATCAGAGTCTTTTACACCGGGATAGGCTAAAACTTCATATCTTAAAACTTAGAAATTTCAACTCACTTGTATGCGACCGTCACGAGCAGCTGCACCGTTATCGGTTATAGTTTTCACGAATATGCCTAATTTCTCGAGACCGGCATCGGCACCGACACCCATACCAATAATACTAAGACCTAAACCTTCGGGCCCCTTCATCAGTTCGACAGGGAAAACGTGCATTTTTTCGACACGTTTTTCCAGCTCATACTCTGCGGAAGCAGCCACCGGGTCAACGTCTTCATTGCGACGATCATAGTCTGTTACAGAAAACGTGGAATAAACTTGAATAGGTCCCGAACTAAAACGCACTTTGGGATTTTTCTTAATAGGTATAGGAGGATAAGAGAGCTCGTCGTCGTCAAAATCTAAAAGACCTTCAAGAAAAAAGATAAAATAAACAAAAAAATTATTTATATTATCATATATACAACAATGGAATTCGATCGCCTATTTTATTACCTATGGATTATCTATACTCTACACTACTTTTTGTATATTAACTTTGTGTGATTGTATGCAGTCTCGACAAGGACTTAAGATGGACCCACCTTTTATTATATCTACTGTTGTTCGTTCGTCTGCCCGATGTCTGGTCCCGTGCGTTTTTGTGTTCAACCTAAAGGTTGTAATTTTTCAGCTATTTTGACAAAATTTGGTACATCAATGTGTCTTGACCCAGAGACGGGTCCTATTAAAATGCATTGTATCGGATATATAAATCGTTATTGTGAAAGAAATAATTTTGTGATTTTCGAAATTGCCCGTAACATACTAAATTGATGGAAAAGTTTGGATCATATGATGATCCGGTTTTTGCGACTCCTTCCTCTCTCAGGGAATTTTAGCCTTTACACGGTAAAGATAGCTAATTTTGTAGTATTTGCTTATGAAAATTAATCCAATGTAGAAATTTGGCATAAAAATGGACTTTACCAAATTCGGACCAAATGTGTCTATGCTTTGGGACTTCAACTCAGATAAGATTATGCATGAAAAATAATCATTTATATGACAATAAAATGCAATTTTTAGCTTTTATGATGAAAATAAGTCAAGGATAATACGATCTATGTCAAGAATATTAATTTTACTAAATTTCGATCCGATCAGTTCGCGTTTGGCGTCCCCTTCTCTTATAAAGGCTTTCATCAAAAGTATGCTTTTACTTGGAAATAATGTGCGTGTCACCAAAATATTGGAAAAATTGTCCTAATTGTAGGGTATTGAAGTGCCGATCTTGCCTGATCGTGTTTTTGGGGGCCGATAATGACAATTTGCCAATTCGACTTGTGCAATTAATTTAAAAGTCCACAAGCAATTTATCAACTGTTTACGTTCTTTTCTGTTATTCGTCGATAAATCTACATGTACATATATATATATATACGTGTACATATATATGTAGAGAAAGTCGACACATGAATATGTTGGTAGCAATTTTATGATTTGTTATTGGATTACCTGGTACTTCCATCCAAAAATTGCCATCTTCAAAATAATGCACACCGCCCTCCACGTACACTTCTTTACTGCGTATGGGCGGATATTCGGGTATATAATATTGAGACTCATCTAATTCTGTGGCTGTGGTTGTTGTTGTATTTAAAGAATTCTGATCATTTTCCGCTAACGAATATGTTGAATTGTGTTTACTCGATATAATGCTATCGTCAATAGTTGTTGTTTGATTTAGAGTCACATCCGATTGGGTCGATTCAACAGATACTAAAGACTCATGTAGTGATTCGTTGGCGATACTATTATTACCATTCGGTTGTTGTATACTGTTTGGGCCGGAATCTTGAAGGAAAGATCGATTCAATAATGACTCTTGCTGATCTTGCTTGATAGGGGAGCGTGACTGTAACTGATCGTTACTGCCTGAGGCTGATATATAAATCGTTGTACTGTCATTGACTTCGTCATAAGTAGTCTCGATTTTTGATGCAGTTGTCACGACCACTACATCGCTTGTCACAGTATCACGACGAGGTATATCCTTATACTCTGTATTTGTTTGCAAGATTAACAAATTCTCTAAACTACGCTTGGGTGCTTCTAGAACATCGCGCAACCATTCTGGCTCATCGTCATCATGACGTGTATGGTCTAATTGAATATTATTGTTAGTGAAGGTAAACGTTGTATTTAAGCATTCACTAGCAGCACTTATACCGACAACATCAACATCTTCAATATCTTTGTCATCATCATCATCATTATCATCATCGTCATCATCATCATCATTATCCGCATTGTTGTCGTTGTAAAAGTTGGACAATTTGTTTGTCACCAGTGCTACACCTGCATCTAAATTTCGCTCATTTTCACCGCTAACTTGACTTTCGGTGCTATCGTTACTAAATTCATTAACAGATTTATTATTGTTCAGGTTATTTAAATCTATTGATTGATGTTGCTGCTGTTGTTGTGCAGGCGGCGAGGGTGTCTGTGGTGTTGTTTCCTCAATGAGATTTTTAATGCAAGTTGGCGAAGTGGCTGTTGCAACCACAGCAGCTACAGCTACTCCTACATTGGGTGCTGCTGACAGTATTTGCTCAACTTCTTTTGCTTGCTCATCTGACAGAAGCGATTGTTGTCTGCGTTTGATGAGAGAAAATGACAAAAAACAAAATTCATTTTTGCACGTTTTATCAAAGCAAATTAGATTTGAACGAAGAGAAAGCAGATAAATAAATTTATAAGAGCAATAAGGAAAAAAGAAATGAAAAATATAAGGAAACAACACAAACCTTATTTTGCTTTCCAAAATTCTACAACAAAAGACGCAAGACACAGTCAATTCAAGTGTTGTTGACGATACAATGATACGTGTGATGAAAATTATTGAATAACAACAGCAAGCATAATAATTGTAACAATATATGTATATATATATATATATATATATATATGTACATACGGGTGAAGTAGGCAATTAGGTAAGACAGTTATAAAAATACAATAATAACACACATACACAGTTACAGGCATAAGATGTTAATTTAAAGTTGTCAGGCAAAAATTAGGAAAAAAAAAACAAAACAAAACAATTAAATAAATAAACAACAAAATTTAATTTAATTACATTAAAGTAAAATTTTATTAAATATACCAATCAAATATATATGAAGAGACAAAAAAAAAAAAATGTTTAAAGGCACAAATAAGGCTAATTAATTAACTCATTTGCCTAACTATATAAGTAAACTCGAAGACGAAATTATTTTGCTTAACCTTTACATCCTACGTTACACACGTAAGACAAGGGTGTATTAAGCTTGTGCGAATGTATGTATGCAATATCTGGAAGGGCCTTAGCATAGATCCGGAATCATTTTCTGAATCTAACGCGTTAGCTTGTCTGTCACTCTGTCCGGTTTTTAAACCTTCACGCTACAATTCTTGAGATATTTTGATGAACGTGTCTTGGCCCGAACGCAAATGAACGCTTTTGAAAATGGTTCAGGTCGGACCATTTTTTCGATCTTCCTTTCCCATATAAAGACTTATTTCGAAAAATCTTTTTATCAATAACCGTAAGATGGTTTAGAGTATTTACGGGTTGGGGTGGTCGTGGCCCGCTATAATGTTTTTACTTGTTTTATTTGTTTTTTTTTTTTTTTTTTTTTTTTTTGCATGTACTTAATGCGTAACGATTTCTATAATCCAATGCTGGCAAGGTAATATTTTTGTCATCAATTTTTGCAAAATGCCTAAGTTATGAGATAACCGAGAGGGAAAATAATTTTTATTTAATTGTTAATATTTGTTCTTTTAAAACTTTCACTGATCCATGAATGGGCTAGAGACGGCAAACTTTTGCAATTAGATGATCGTAAGGTACGAAGGGTTCTATTTTAAACTATTATTGAATTTATTCCTTTTGTCAACATAGCTTCTTAACTTCTATTAAATATATTAAGAAGAACATAGTCTGGTAGCAAGAATTAAAATTAAATAACGAAAAAAAAAAGTAATAAATTTTTTTAAATATCTCGTGACTGGGAGATATTAGCTTTCGTTTCGGACTCCGACTGTGCCAAGTGATATATGTTTGCAAAAAGGTGCGATAATGAGAAGACTTTTTTTTTTTCCTCCTTTTTCTTTTTTTTTGCAATTTGTTGTTGTGCCCTACTCATACCCAATTAAATCAAATGATATCGTAGAATTAAGTTGCTGTAGAATCTAGACAACAACTGCGTTTTTTTAATTTTAATTTTATGAAGAAAAGAGAAAAGGAATAGCAATTTCAGTGAGAAGCCATCGCAAAGTCGTAGTTACCAAATGCTTACGATTCTCTCACCCATGCACACTAAGCGCCACTGGCAATATTTTCACAATTTTTGATTTAGCAACAGACAGTAGGCGGGTAGTAAAGAAGGAGTTTATTAACTTGTAAGGATTTTATATTTTTCATTTATATTACGAAAACACTTTACACTTTATTAACTTTTAGCAAACTACAAGTAACGACATTTATTGCTTAACGATTTAACATTTTTTATTTGCTTATCATTTTTCAAGTAATGAAAAACAATTGATTTTTCAAATGTTATCAATTAAATAGATACAAAGAACATATTTCGATGATGTTTTCTAGTATTTTTTTTTTTTTTTTTTTCTTGCTCTGCTTATGGAGATTGCATTGTGAAATTTTCAATGATAAAAACCTTTCCTTTTTTTTTTTTTAACGCATAAATCGGCCAATTGTGTGTATGGGTATCGTATATTTGCTGTATGTATGTATTCATCTAAAGCAGGTGCTTTTTGAATATAATTTGTATATGGTGTGCTCTCTCAATTATTGCCATCGGGCATTACAGTTAACCATTATGCATTTGTTTGGATTAATAGTGGGTAATAACGACTAAAGCACCATCAGGTTTATTGCCACATTAATGCGACTACAAACAAAATGTCCTAGACATTAGAACGATTGTATATCTAAAAAAAAATAGGTATTAATTAGCGAAAGTAGATACGTTACGTTGCGGTATCAATGGAAGTGCAAATTTCAGATTTAAAATTATTAGTGATATTCGAAAATTCCTTAATTAAAAATTATTGTTGGATTTCTACAATTTATTTTTTAACAGGCATAAACGCTGAAAGTCGATTGCGACAATATCCAATTCGAATAATGAAATCGACTTTCGAACTTCTGTAGCACATAGTAGACTAACATATAGATGCCATGCCCATATCGTTTTCGCTAAGTGCTTTAAATCGCATACGAGATTTCGTGCCATCGACAATTCGACCGTTCATTTACCAGTTCCATCGATTTTAGTGACTCTACTTTTATTGCACACAACAACATTGCCACAAGGCAAAAATTCAAAGTTCATGTTTCGATCATCGCTCACTATGATAAGTGTTACGACAACCGACTTGCCTGTCGAAAATGACGACGTGTCGGTTGTTCATTGATTTTAAAAGAGTACAAAAAATATTGTCTGCATGCACCGTTAGGCTACCGTTAAATACTCTGCACCGTACTAAGCCTATTCACGTAAAGTAAAGCGTCACGTAGAAAATGGTCGAAAAGGTGATCCGATGCGAATCATTTTCAACAGCATTCGTCTTTGCGCCAAAATAGATCGGTGTGCCGCATTTCATCAAAATATCTAAAAAAGGTTACAAGGTGCAGCTTAAACAAATGTAAATAAGGCGGACAGAAATACACTTAGATTCACTTTTTTCGTAAATCTCGAAAGAATGTTTTAAGAAAAATGGTTTGAATCAAATGCAGCAGCAGCTTGGGAAAACGGCCTCGAACGATTAGAAAAGCTTTGAAATTGAAGCGTTTTATAGCACTTTTGACGAATAAAATCGAATTTTGTAAAAACGCAAACTTACCAAGTCCCAGGACTTATTGACCGACATATTGAGAGAGTTCGAAACGAAATCGTTTCACTTCCACACTCTATTAAAAGCTAGAGATTGATTATCAAAATCACGCACAATCTAACCGCGACCTTGCGAAGCTCTCTCAGCAACCATAATACAATAGTTGCGCTTTAAACGAATCGGTATTACGTTCGCGATGTTAGCTAGATTACTGAGTTTTCCTGATAATCGTGTTTCGATTGTCGAATTTTATTAAATATTAGTCTGGCCGAAAGAGTCAATATGAAATAATCTTAATGACAATTTCTATAAAATTTTCATCCCGCGTGTGACTAAGAAGTTTTGGAAAAGAAAACAGAAATGAGATCCGCTCAAAACTAAACCATAAAATAATTGATCAAAGAACTGATCTATGTTGATCCAGACATATCGTTACTCATCTTATTCATACTAAACTATTAAACTAAGTATTGTTCCAAGTGCTAAGTAAATTTTCACAAAATTTTCATGTTTTTGAAGGTTTCAAAAGGCTTCGCACAAGCAAAAATATACAAGTGCAGTAATCCACCCTATAACGCGGTAGATTGGTTCCGCGTTGTAGGAAAACGCGTTATAGGAGTATACCTGTATAACGTTTTATTAAAATCAAACTAAACTAAGAACAATGTATGTGGGAAAGCCCCGCGTTATACGGGGGATTGAAATCGTGTAATATGAAAACGCGTTATAAGGGTACCGCGTTATAGTTCGGATTACTGTATTCTTATTAAAAGTTGCACGATTGCCGGATGCTAAAGTCTAGGTAGCTCTTATCAAAGACTTTCACTTAAATTGAGATTAATTTCTTTTGCGTTAGTGCTTTCTAAAGATAATCAATGTTTATGGAGTTATGTAACAACTTTTACAAAATATATGGCTTCAGACAGAGGTGGGTAATTTTTTTTTTTTTTTTTTTTTTTTTTTTCAATCAACAGGCATACATCAATTTTAATATCATGAGGGAGATGAAAATAGATTGAATGGATTTTACGAAAGGACACAAATTATTATTACTATCATGTAATAAAATGAATCCAATGAACATAGGTATTACTCAGACTTCAATAAGATGCGTTCCTGATTTATTATTACATCATATAATTATGATATAATTCGCTTGTAGCTTGTATTCGAAGATTTGCTTTTAAAATTTTCATCCATTATTTATAGATCTGATTTTGCTCTTTCTACGTTACATTGACGGGGATGGAACGTTTCGCAACGATAAGTTGATCCGATCAAATCAAGAATGCGGAGAAAGGTTTCTCGATTTAGAGAAGCATCAGACGTCACAGGTATTGCTTTTTCAGCCAACTAATTTTTGATAAGTAAATTTGGTGGTTGTAAATTTATCAGCTCATATGTTCAATTTGGCTGTCTTGTAGAGAATTCTTCAAATAAATCGTTTCGCGTCATTTCGTATATATGCTAATTGCCTCCCACCGTTCATTTTTTCATAATGTTTGCAGCAGCGAATAGGAAGCTTTAGAGACGCTATAATGTCGATATATTCTTGATCAGCGTGAAATTCTGAATCGATTAGGGAATGTCTGAGCCTGTGCCGTCTGTGTGTATGTCAGTGAAACTCGCTTGATCGCAAAAATGAAAATGTCGAGTTGGAATTCGTTAGAAACAATAAAAGTTTCTGTACGCAGGTTGGATTTGAAAATGGATCAAATTGGGCAGAGCGCACGCCCGCAATAAAGCGTAAGCTAAACCAAAGTTTCGTGAGTTATTCCTCATTACTCAGTTTGTGCATTTGTCAATAAATATTTCAAGGTCCAATTACCGTGCGGCATAAGTGCGGCAACAAAAAAAATCTCATAAACATATTTCGCATTTGAGAGCTGTTGAGAGCAGTTGAGCCGATAGTGAGGGCAGA